TATGGCCCCACAAACTAAAGTGTTAAATTTCTCAAATCAGTTTCACTTGGTTGACTTTGTCTGTCCTAACAACCACCCTGAGCCCCTAGCAACCACCAAGAATACCCTTGCAATCACATTTTCACACTGGCAAGTCCCACTCAAATTCACATATTCTCATCGTGAAATTCTAAAAATCTAGTTTCTACTCTATTTGTCTTCATTTAAGACCCAATCTGTCTGTTCTGCTCTCGCTGGAACACACACAGAGACGCAAATGCATCTGTTTTGAGGCCATTAATTAGATTCAACCAAAACAGCTCAGGGCTTTTAGATTATAAATGCTGAGAAACACCAAACACAAAATGTTCCCAATTAAAATGAAGATGAATGGCAGGGCATGTCCTCCTGTTGAGCCTCTGTGTCTAAATTATCACAGTGCAGACAAACCATTAAACACACAACCCTCACCCCGTCCCGGCAGACTGCGTCCACACACCTTTACAGTCTATGGTCCACACCACCAACTGCGATCCGTCTTGTTTTTTATTTATGTCTCATTAAAGGACAAGGTGATAAGCCAGCAGTCATAACAGCTTAAATAAAATACTCATGTTTTGTAAATGAGCTGCACATAAAAAGACTAGATGGCTAACGAGAGATAACAGTGTAAATAAACACCTCTGATCGAGAATGAAGAAAAAAAATAGCAAAGAGTTTAAACACCATTTATTTTAAACTTGAAAGTATATAAGATGAAAGCCAAGGACACCTGAAACTCTTCTAAAATACAAAAGAAACTTCAAATCAACGTTTAACAACATGCACAAGGAACCTAGTCAAAGCACACACTTTAATTTCCTTGATCTTTTCAGGGCAGACACAATTATGTTGCTAAACATCCTGTTTGACTCTCTGTACCACATCCTGAAAGGTGCATAATTAAACTATCCAACCAATCCGAGGCTAGTTGTGAAATGGTTGCGGAGAAACTGTCATAAATGTTGACACAAGTGTCGTTGGAAAAGCAAACATCACGAGAATAAAATGGTGCCACCGAGGCGTTCAAACACCAAATGGAGGCGGGACAGTTGTATCTGTTTCTTTTTGCCTTGAGGCACCGAATCTGTTTTTTTTTTTGCTAATGTAACTTCTGATAAGTGCAGAGGATAGGTATAATATTGTAAACCTAAGCTTGTGACATAAAACAAAAACATGTAATCTGGTTAAATAATGCATCGCATTCACCTCTGGTTAACAGAACTACTTTTTGAATTTAACCAGAATTTAAATATAAAGCAATATGTAATGTATATATATATATATATATATATATAGTTGCAAAATATGCATTTACTCTTAATGACGATTTTTTATCAAACTTGTATATTTAAGTTCAGTAATTTCACTTAAATAACAATTAATAGGTAATTATCATTGCCATTTTAGTGAAATTACTGAACTTAAATATACAAGTTTGATAAAAATCATCATTAAAGAAGAAAATTTCAAATGGCATTTAGAGGCTTTTGCATCTGAACTCTTCATATATATATATATACACACTTTTAATAATTTAATAGTTTACTTTTATGGAAGACTTTTATTTAGACTTTTATAATAGTTTACTTATATTTTAAAAAAAGGCCTTTTATTTATTATTGTGTCTAAGATTATTTGTGTCAAAATATACATTTAAATAAAATTAAATAGAATATTTCCAATCAAGCTCTAATTTTGTTCTATTCTGTAAACAGTGACCCTTTTTATATGGTCCCGCATCGTTATGATTGAACTCACGCCCAAACGCATTAGATTAATTGGAAGCAGCACTATACGTCCCACTACATGTAGAATGTAAATGGGCTAAATAATCAGTACACAATAAACGCTGAAAATAAATGTCAAGTATTAAAGGGATAGTTCACTTTGAAATTCATTTTTGATATGTTTTAGCTTACCTAAACATACGCTTGTTTCGTGTCTTAGGACATCAATGTGTACTTATTTACAAGTCATTAAATCATGTTTAATTTGGACTTCTCTGTGCACACTCTTTGAGGTGGTGACCATAGACCTCCATTATATGACTGACAGACAAGAACGGTTTGACCTAAAAATATCAAAATTGAAAATACTGTGGAAGCAAAGACACCTACATCTTGGATGCCCTTGAGGTAAGCTAAAACATATCAAAAATTAATTTCAAAGTCAACTATCCCTTTAATATGCAATTATATTTACATAGATTAAACATTAAGATTTTCAGACATAAGTGCATATATAGTGACTATATTTACTACACTGTCTGAACAATTGGTTCAGTGGCATAAATCCTTCTCTGGAAATCAGCCCTGGTGGGTGGTCAAAGCCGAAACGGCCTTTGGTTGGAAAGAGCGGGTTCTCGTTTCCATATTGAATATTAATGAGTGTTTGAATTGAAGGGGTGAGCAAAACTGACCTTTTCTGCCACACTACTCCAGTGATGAATCCCACAGACACACAGCGACTCTAATTTTAATGGAGAGACACCTAACAGGGACACACAAACAAAACCTTGTGATGGATTTTGGCCATGTTAGTTTTCAAATAAAGATAAACTAAATGCACACAACACGTTTTTTGGGCATTTCAAAAACAGTTTAGCCAAGCATGGAGACCAGTTTAATCCAGATAAGACCAATTTAGGCTGGTTTTACGTGGTGAGGCGGGTTTTTGGACATGGACGATGGCTTATAAACTGGTAGACGCCCACTAGTCTAAACCAAGATGATCTACCAGTTTTAATCTTGAGTAAGGTTGCGTTCTTTGTGATCTTTTAGTGCGGTCCATTTGAATAAGGGTGTGAAAAGAAAATTATACATTTAGTCCTGGTAACCTCAATGTAGGTTCGTTTTAAAACCGTATATTTCACAGTGGAAATATCATAGATAAAACATCAAATTGACCATCAAAAATATTGTGTAAATATAGTGTGCTGGACTACTTTTTGTATGTGCGTACACATATGATGGTAGATGACAGAGCTGAGGACTCGTGAAGAGCTTTTAAAAGCCGCTGGAATCCCTCCGTCACACACAAACAAAGACCCATCTTTTCATTGGTCTCATGTCTTTTCGGTTGGCAACGTTCACGCTTATTCAAATGAACCGCACTAACAGAGTTTGTTTTAGTCAAACCAAACCGGCAAAGTAGGAGAGTGTGTTGGTGCAGCTGTATTTTGGAACATAACATAGTTTCTAACTGGTTCAAGCGGGTCATTTACTGGTCAACCCATTTGAAAAAATAATTAAACTTTTTCCAGGCACTGCTATTGATGCAAATGACACAATTAACAACTGGCAATTAACTTAATTGCGATGTAGTTTGTTGATTTCAACAGAAGCATTCTAATTTTGATGGTCGCTTGCTGAAGAGCGCGACGCTGCGCAAGGGAGCACACCATCACACCTACAGATAAGAGTCCGAATATAGACAAAAAGCACATACATATGCATTTATGCACAGAAATATGAACCCACACAGACTTTAAAACAGACACCGAACAGAAGAGAGTGTTTTCTAATGTGTACATAGCAAGTAATTTTCTTGTTGATGGAGTTCCGAGGTGAGGTCAATCTGCCATAATGTATCCTGTAATTTTTAAGGCTGGTTTTGTCAGCAGGTCTTAAAAGCCTCATTGACCTTTCCAATAAGACATTAGCCAGCACTTAAAGTGATGGGCCGCAAAATCAGGATAGTTTATAGACAGGAAAAAGAGATCTTTGTCAGCCTGGGGGCACTGAGGATAGCATGAGGCTAATGCTAATGGCTAGTTCCCTACAGTCAATGCCATTACTGGAGTGATACAACTTAATATTGTTGTGCTTAGAGGTTAAGAAAGACAAGGGTGTTTGGGCACAAGTGTTCTCAGATACAACCATTTTGCCATTTATCCGTTCCTGCTCTCTTTTGTTATGCCAGAAATGCATTCTATGCAAGTGTAGATGCTAATGCTCAGCTAGTGCATTGCATCTGTGCTATTAAACCACATATTACAAGATTCGACTTATTTTTTAAAAAGTCAGTTTAATGTAGGCTAGTCAAAGTCTAAGGTTTAAGTCAACATTTTTTTAGTGTAGCTAGGCTATTTTGTTATTCAAGTAGCTATAACTTAACATACACTTTGAAGCTACTTTCAACTATGGAAAAGATTTTTAAAATGTTGTTAGCCACACTATAAGCAGCTAAAAAAATTGCTAACGACATAGAAACTACTTAATATAGTAGTTAACTACAGAGAGTGGCTTTAAAATATTCACAAAGTCAAAAGTACATAGATATACAACTCCGCACCGCTCATACTCTGGTGCGGTGGGATGATACAAACAATGAAAAATCCCAGTGCTGTTACTAAATTAAGCATAATAATGTAAAAGGAATTGTATTCTGTGAAATTCAAGTTGTTCCCTTCTTGATTCATTAAACATTGCAAATAGAATATGATGATGAAATCAAATGCATCTAATTAAACCCCCAGCCATTAACAATTATGGGTGCAATCATCAAAATTGATAATTTGTTATAATAATTATAATTTTCATGAGAGTATTGTAACTATAATTTTCCACTCTTGTGGCTGATATTCCCCAGTAGATTTTCTTTTTTCCCTTCCAGAATGAGGAAGCCATTTGATAGTGTGATAATGAGCCAGACACACACACACACTCACACAAAGGCACTTTCATCTCAAGAAATCTAATTAGTCAAATGATATTTGAGAGGAGAATTGTGGCGACTTCATCTTCCTCAGGCACAGAAATCCTCACCAGCACTCCCACACTGATTTACTCAGAAAATGGATAAATGAGACCAATTACAGCACAACAGAACTGAAAGATGAACATTTGCGTTTTCTAAACCCAAACGGTGTAAACAAGGCCATTTAAAGAGCAAACAGAGAAGGAAAAATAAAAGAAAAATGCTTACAGAGCATCAACAAAGGCTCAGTCTACAGGGACTGCCGAAGAGATAAATCTACGTCCGTCCATCTCTCTCTGATCTTCTCAGCCTGTGAAACCATCTGTAGTTCTGATCCTTTATTGGTGACCATCCTGAGATGAGAGAAAAACGTAGAGTGTGATGATCGGAAAAGTAAAACCCAAAATTTCAGCATCCATGCATGTTTCTTGCTGCATAGATTTAAAAAACAAAACCCTCAAAACATATAGGACAACATAATGTCATTTATAATATTATAAACAGTATTTCGGTGATGGTTTCAGCACATTTCATATGCATATACTGTATACCAACAGTACCACCATTTCCTCCTTTGACCCAAGCCAGTCTCTCTTTTCTTCACTGCCGCCCATTAGAGCTAATGAAAGCAACAGGTTCTGGGAGGTGAAAAAGAGCTTCATTAGCCGGATTAGATTATAATAAAGATTTAAATCACTTCTCGGGTGTATTCAATCGGTCATGCCATCCTGTAAGCATTCAGCATCTAATGCCTCTTGCTTATGTTTTAGACTGAGCTCCGGTGAGTGACAGAAGTCCAGCGGCGAGAGCCAGGCAGAAATAGAGTGGATGAGGGAGAAAGATAGAGAATGTGTTTGAGAGATCTCTCATTGAGATTTACTCTCTTCGCTTTCGAGCGAAGGTGGATCATGAGATGGCGAAGCAAATCAGGAATGAAATTAGAGTTGGACCCAGAGGAGGACGCGTTGAAATGATTGGTGAGAGGGATGGAGGGAGCCGAAGAACGACATGGGAATTGAAGAAGCAGGACAGAACAATCCGGGGGAAAGTATGTTTTTTTTTATTCCCTTTTTGGAATATTAAAGGTTTAGTTCATAGTTCATTAACTGTCGTTCCAAACCTGTAAGACATTTTTAATGAAACCAGCAATTCTCCACTGAAATGTTTATTCAGTGCATTTAGTTTGATGAATGAGACATACAAAGACTAGAACAATTTATTAAAACTAGGATTTTGCCTTGCCAGAACCAGACATTCTACTAGCTATAAGTAACTTTTCAACTAACTGTCATTAGACTATTAGTAGACTGTCAGCTTAATATCTGCTAACACTTTATTTTGTTGGTCCCCCAACACATATTCAACTGACTATAAGTAACTTGGCAACTACAAGTAAACTTATTCTCCTAACACCTAACCATAACCTAACAGTCTACTATAATATACTATTACTCTAATGAGAGTTTCTTGACATGTAGTTGAAAAGTTACTTATAATTAATAGAACGTCTAAAGTTACTATCGAAATAAAGTGTAACCAATATTACACAGTGCCATGTCCAGTGGTTTCCCCAACCTCAGAGCAACAGCCCCAGTCAGGGTGCTATAGTGGTGAACCAGCTGAAGATCCAGTGAATGAAGTAATCCGTACATCTAAACAGAGCATTGTACAATTTATATCTCGAAAATATATCCTATCCCATATCCTGCTAAATGAATTAATAAGCAGTGAGTTTTACTGTTCTTATTCTTGTTTTTAAAATGTTAATAAATAAAACGTGTACTGTATCAGCCATAAAAACTCTCCTGTGTCTTATTGTCACCTAAAAAAACAAACATAATACAGAGTGTACAGCACACTTTCAGCACCTTGTCCAGAGGTGTGAGTCCATCTGGGGTTGAGTAGCACAGTGTTATTGGTATAGTTCCTCGCAAAATGGTGCATTTATTTCGTACAAGGCCTATAACTCTCTCCAAATGGACGCGCACTGCTCCCAGTCCCCACGATGACTCAATTTCAGCTGGGTGAAGCTGCTGTTTTCCTTCTAGCATTAACAAGACCCAAAAAGTCTGCCACATTAAACCCCCGTCTGCAAGAACAACATCTCCAGGGGACATTGGCTCAAGAAATCCACTGTGCCCGCCCCAACCTTTCAAAACAAAGCTGATGACCCCTTGTGGAGTTAAGGAGACGAGGTATTTAACTATGTTGTGATGTTTATACTGAGAATATGTTTGTGCTCTTGCTCTCATTTCCTTTGGTCTTTCAATAAATAATACAATGCAATCCATAATACTGGTGCAATTTTCAAAGCCGTTTCTATAACACATTTGGGAGACTACAAAGCATCTGATCTCTGCTTGGCCACTTTATGATATTACACAGGCTGATATTCATCACATTCAATGTGTTGTTGAAACTTTAGGAATGATGAGATAAAAGAGAAAATAACAATCAGTTTTACATATGGGCAGGCCTGTTCATTTATGAACTTTATCATCTTTTTCCTTCAAACTTTCTTGGTTGAAAGACTTTGAGCTTCTGTCAGTTGGACTATATATTTGTGATTCGGCTTAAGCACTATCACATTGTCCTTTGCCAATAGACAGAAGTTTGTGTCAGCATTACAGCTGTTGACAATAGACTGGTCTTTAAGAGTAAAAGGGCATTTTATCTCAAACACACCTCTATCGTGGCAAGCACAGGGAATTATTCCATCTGGCTATCCATGGCAGTGATGTGTTGATGATTAGGCCTGTTGTCTGCACTTGAAAATCGGTGTGATGATCTTGCAATGCTGTGATGTACTGTGTCCTTGCTGTTGTCACGCACATTTTCCCATCTAGAAAAACAGAGAATAAGGTATTGTTTAGACAGACTCCTCATACTTCATTAGCACACTACATTATACCACTGCAAATCCAGAATAATGTATGAATCATTCTCTATGGAGTGCACACACTATTATGTTCGTGTAATGGCAGCCTCTTTTGACAAACGTGGAAAAGTTGTATATTTAGGATTGGTATCATTTTCTCAGCTTGTATAATTTCATCAATAACTTGTCCTTTAAGTGGGATTGTAAGAACATCATTGTTTCTCCGAAATATGGTTTTGACAAATGGAATGAAAACCAGTCCTGGGCAATATACTTTCTGGGTAGTCTTTCTTTGTACATTTCTATTGTTACCTCGTTGCCTCTGTAGACACCTGACATGACAGGCGAAAGATGCTTTCACTCTCTACTAGTAAGGACGAGAAATCAGCATGCGACTGGATTATTAGGAACACCGTACTAATACTGTGTTTGACCCCCTTTTGCCTTCAGAACTGCCTTATTCTTCATGGCATTAATTCAACAAGGTGCTGAAAGCATTCTTTAGAAATGTTGGCCCATATTGATAGGATAGCATCTTGCAGTTGATGGAGATTTGTGGGATGCACATCCAGCTCCCGTTCCGCCACATCCCAAAGATGCTCTATTGGGTTGAGATCTGGTGACTGTGGGGGCCATTTTAGGACAGTGAACTCATTGTCATGTTCAAGAGACCGATTTGAAATGATTCAAGCTGCATTATCCTGCTGGAAGTAGCCATCAGAGGACGGGTACATGGTGGCCATAAAGGGATAGACATGGTCAGAAACAATGCTCAGGTAGGCCGTGGCATTTAAACGATGCCCAATTGGCACTAAGGGGCCTAAAGTGTGCCAAGAAAACACCCCCACACCATTACACCACCACCACCAGCCTGCACAGTGGTAACAATGCATGATGGATCCATGTTCTCATTCTGTTTACGCCAAATTCTGACTCTACCATCTGAATGTCTCAACAGAAATCGAGACTCATCAGACCAGGCAACATTTTTCCAGTCTTCAACGGTCCAGTTTTGGTGAGCTCTTGCAAATTGTAGCCTCTTTTTCCTATTTGTAGTGGAGAAGTGGTACCCTGTGGAGTCTTCTGCTGTTGTAGCCCATCCGCCTCAAGGTCGTGTGTGTTGTGGATCACAAATGCTTTGCTGCATACCTCGGTTGTAACGAGTGGTTATTTCAGTCAAAGTTTCTCTTCTATGAGGTTGAATCAGGATGATAGTTCAAACAAAACGGACAGAATTGGCTGCAGTTCCAGAGGGTTTTCAATGGAACCTTTTGCATGTTTGTACCATTTTGTGCCAATGGAGGCAGAGAAAAAGAGAAGTAAAGATGAAGGATAATCAAAGAGCAAATGAATGTCAGAGAAGCAACAATTTACCAAATAGGAAACAACATCTCGCACTTACCTTAAAAGCACAGCTGTGTGAGCTCAAGCACACGTCATCAGATTTTACCCCTTGAGGAATCACTACAAGGAGCAAAGCAAACACATATTTTCTTTGTGTCGGGTGCAATAAAAAGCCGAGCTGTTATTGGCCATTGGCAGGAAATCACAGAGAATGGAATGGAAATCAATACAGCTGCCAGCAGGGATTTCATGCGGCCAACAGAGGGAATCTGAAATAAAGCTAATCCTCTCACAGACGCCCCTAAGTTAAGCTAAAATGGGACAAGAGATTTCAAAGCGAGATCATGATCGACACAAGCGGGAAGCTATGATAAGAGGGAGATTAAAACGCAAGGGGAGCAAAAACTGACCGAAAAGTTCATCCGAAAAGTTCACCATGGATGATAAAATCAGGGACTGTTAACACAACGCTATTTTCAACTATTTGAAAACGGATTAATTGAACTATCTTTGTGGGCTTTTAAAAATTGTTTTTTGTAAACGATACCATTATTGTCTTCAAAAACATAAAACTGTGGATACGGTGACATCATGCGTATTAGGGATGTGCCTGAAGTCCGAATACTATGTTCGGAAAGGAAATGGTGCATTCTACGGAGCCCCGAAAGGGACATAGTGATGGAAAAATATATTTCAATGCTTTTGTGTTTCTTCTATTAGTGTAATTAATATTATCTATATTACAAATAACAATATTAAATATTAGAAGACGTAATTTTATAATTATAATTATTTTGGTATATGGTTATGGTTATATATGGTTATGCTAGACTACCGTTTTTTTAAAGAAATGTATACTACTAGCAAGGATGCAATAAATTGCTCAAAAAATACAGTAAAACCTTTAAAATGTTACAAATGATTTCAATTCAATAAATGCTGTACTTTTTATTTATCACAGAATCCTGAAAAAAAGTATTATGGTTTCCACAAACATATAAAAGCAGCACAACTGTTTTTCTCATGGATAATAATCATCAAATCAGCACATTAGACTGATTTCTGAAGAATCATATCATGTGACACTATAGACTGCTGTAATGATGCTGAAAATTCAGGAATAAATTACATTCTAAAATGTATTCAGAAGTAAAACATTACTGTGTTCTTTATCAAATAAATGGAGTTTTGGTACAGCACAAGAGACTTCTTTCAAAAAACGTCTCAAGATATGCAGGAGAAAACAGGAACACTGACTGACCTCATAGGTGACGGCCTCAGGCTGCACTTCAGACTGATCCGGGCCTGTTGCCTGCTCTCATATTTTCAGCCTGCAGAATCATCTGGGAGTGACAGTGGGAAATCGATTGAACAAACAGTTGGATTTCTGGGATTTAGAGAGAAAAGAAACAGAAAGGAAATCAGAGGTTGATGAGAGGTTCTCAACTGAGAGCTAGATGCCGACACGTTCTTCTCCCATGGGCGTTCTGAGTTGAAGCTCTTCTTGCAATGTTATTACGTGCTATATGAGCCGAGTAGATTCCACTTAGTGAGATGAAAAATACACCTGTGGCTTACAACATTTCAGCTCTGTTTAGTGGGGAAACTCTTTTCGCTGATTCTCATGGGCAAACTTGCTCAAGGGACCAAGTTGACTCTCTTAGGGGCCGTTTACACCACAACAGTGGTGTTTTGGGGGCTGGTAAAACTTAAACTTTTGGAAACGAGTTTCAAAGTGCAAGTTTTTTTTTTTATTATACCGTAATCGACCGTGAATATATGAAAACAGTGACATCATGCACATGCATATTACATCTTCGATCTATAGGCGCACAATGTTTCTTTACAAAGTGACATCGCCAACTACTGGCCTGGCAGCAGAATATATACTTATTTGTGTAATTTACAATTGATTCAAAGAGCTAAAGTTATCCATGGATTACTCAGAGTTTGCTTAAAACACACCACATAATTAATAAAATCCATTGCTAATACTCATTGTGTTTGTTTTGTTGTTTTCCCTCTAAAATGATGTCATTTCCTGGAGAAAGGAATATGGGGTATATGCACGCATAAGTTCCGCATTTGACGCAAGGATGCTCTTCAGTTTCCAGTTGGGGAGATTTAAAATGGGATTATGGCAGAGTCTTCCAAATTTACTGTCCTCCCGTCTTTGAAACGAAACGTACATACGTTTAGATGTCATTTTATATATAGTTATGTTTATTTAATATAATTTTAAAAAGAAGCATAAACACAATGAGGGGTGTCTGTCCTGTCTGTTTTTGTGACTAACGTTTCTTTAGTATAACCACAACGCTTCATACCACAGTCATGTTAAAAACCCATGAATGTATTCACTCACATTACTTCCCACAAACATTATTGGATCCATCGGCGTGACGACAAGTTCCATGATTCCGCTTATTCACTGCGTCATCATTCTACGCCTTTGCTATTGTAAGAGGTTAGCGACTAGACCCATAGCAGAGAAAAAAATACGTATTGTAGCTTTAACTATGCTATTTTCATTAACAAATACACACAATTAAATAATACTTGAACACTTTGACAAAATTAATAATTGACCAAATACTAACACACTTTCATGACAATTCGTAATTACTTTACGTTTTGGTAACGTATTTGAAGGATAGATGTTTTTTATATTTACAATTGCAAGGACAAGGGAAAAACAAAGTAAATACAGTTTTAAAGTTACATTTATAGCTTAAATAAAAAATAAATGATAGTTTCAACCCTCTCGGACATAAATGTAGTTAAACACCCACATACCATGCCATGGATGACCAAAACGGCACAAACTATGTTGACCTTTCCAAAATTGCCATATTCGGATCAGGGGAATGGAAGTTATCCAAGTTACCATGAGTCTGAGGAACTGTTATGACGGCTCACGAGAGCATCTCCCGCTAACACCGTCTTTGTTGTGTTAATCACTCTCTCGGCATCGAGAACGACCACACTCTTCAGAACTGCACACACACACACACTCATTCTCATATCACAGATAGGCAGAGCAGAAATTAGCCTCTGTACAACAGCAGAATAATGACACGGGGAAGCAAACATAATGAACATTTCCCCTCACAAACACCTTTTCATTTAAATGGTCTATTTTTATTCAGATACAGCAGCAATTTTGGATTAATTAAATTTGTTTTTTCCTCCCCTCTCTCATTGCTAAATGACTACTAGTTTTAGCAGCTGACATCAAACCCTCAGCCCCATTTGCATTTGCACATCATGATTAGTTGTTTTTGCCAATAGCTCATGAACTTGTTGAGCGCAGCTTGTTTTCTTTCTATCTTTAGATTCAGGTTATTATTATAGAATGGGTATATGGACATGATGTTGGTGGTTAGGTCATCGCTGACGCTGTACAGCGTATGTTATTGTTTCCATGCTATTGAATGTAACAGCTGCAGAGACTCCAATGAAACCAATTTTCTTGGAACACGACTGGAATAGTTTTGCTCTCCAGAGGAGGCTGTGTTTCACCCTTGGTGCTCACTGTGCACAGCTGTGTGCTACGAGCAGTTTTGGTGTTTTCCATATAAGAAGAAACGTCAGAAGTTCATGTTGCTGATGATCATGGCAGTAATAATCTCAGCATCATGCTGATTCATTCTGTTGCCTCCTTCTGGTGAGCTTTACAACGTTGTGCAATGAATATGAAGACACTTTCCACGGTGTGGAAAGCATTAGAAACACAAATGTTCCCATGTTTTTTGTTTATCTGACATAAAATGAACCTTAAAATGACTGTCTCCAGCAGTCAGAATCATTAGAGGACCTATTATCCTATAATGACCTAAAAAAAAAAATTAACTTCCTTTAATGTTGCTGTTTGAGCATGAAATGGGTCTGCAAAGATACAAAGTAGAGGTCTGCACCCCCGCGGGACTCCCGCGGGACCCGCGGGTCGCGACGCAAAACAGTGCGGCGCGGGAGAAATTTTGAAAGGTCAATGCGGGAGCGGGCGGGATGATGAGGTGCACTTGCGGGTGCGGTCGTGAGGGATGATGCGCTGCACTCCCGCAAATTAAATATGAGTGTAAAATAAAATATATAAATGATTAAAGTAGCGTACATAATTTGTAGTTGTGACGGAGATTCTGATTGGCAGCAATAAAAACGTTTTAAGCAGCCTAAACTTGTGAATATTGTCGGGTAGGGCGGGGCATAATCTCACGCACAGTCGCACACTTGTTTAGAGACAATTCCTTCCCGCTGCTCCGTGTTCGAATTCGAAAGCTAGTTCAAGTTCAAAATAGACAGCATGGACGAGGAACAGAGCGCCTCTAGTGCTTCAGATAGAGGCCTAAGCGCTTCAGATGTAAGTTACGTTACTTCTCTAAAGTACTTGTGGTAGGCACACAGGCTATTTCAGTTTAACACCTGCACTGAGCGGCTCAAAGCCCACATAGTTTTTTAGTCACAATGTTTTAGTTCATGGCTAGCCTATAATGTGACAGGACATTATCTGCTTCTTTTACCTTTATTTTGATCATTTTCATTTAGACATGCTGGTATCGACCTGCTGAGTTTTTTCTTCTTCTTCTTCTTATTATTATTATTCATATTATTCTATTCATATTCATATTATTATTATATTATTATTATTAAAATTAAAAGGTAGGCACACAGGCTATTTTCAGTTTAACACCTGCACTGAGCGGCTCAAAGCCCAAATAGTTGTTTAGTCGCAATGTTTCATGGCTAGCCTATAATGTGACAGGAGCATTATCGAATTATATATATTAGATAGATAATAATATTACCTAATCGAATATATATAGGCCTATATTTTTTTGTTACATGTTAAGCCTAATGGAATTTCGGCCGATTAATGTTATCTTTGTTGGCGTTCGTTACTGATGCCTGTTTAATGTTTTGTATGGTTGATTATGCAGGCTTACCAATAAATATTACCAAGTATTGGTAAGGAATTTTGTGAGCACGCATTTTTTTTCCCCAGGGCCAAGACCTTTCGTCAGAAAGTGCGGGCGGGAGCGGGACATTATATCACAGATGCGGGCGGGAGCGGGACTAAAAATGACAAATCTTTGCGGGAGCGGGAGGGAGCGGGTCTGAACACTGCGGGAGCGGGCGGGAGCGGGTCTGAAAATTGTGTCCCGCGCAGGTCTCTAATACAAAGTCCACTTTTGAGTTTTCTACCAGGAACAAACACGTCACAATATCCCTAATTTAAATAATTCCAGCAATGCCTTCGCAAAAAAGCGGTGTGGCTTTTTCGAAACACATTTAAAGATGTTGACCAATCACAACACTGGTGCTGCTGACCAATCAGAGCACATTTCATAAGGAAGGGCTTCAAGACAGGAACTAAACAGAGTGTTACTGACAGACTGGGAAAAGAGGTGCTGAAAAAATGAAAAAAAAAAATTGAGCATAAAAACAAGCATTAAAAGCTATTCACAGACTGATCTCATCGAATGGCATGTGTATGACACGGCAATTCGTATTTCCATTTTTTGCGTGCTATCAACACGCATAATCGCTTTTCGGCATGTTTATGAACGCCGTTGACTTAACGTTACATTACTTTATAAATATATGACCTAACCCCCTATCCGTCACTGGGGTTAATAGCATTTATGAGTCTTCCCCTACCATCCTAGGAAAAAATTATCGCTCCCCAGATGTCGATCTACATTTTGCTTCGTTTCGCTGGGACATTTAACGGCGTGTACATTCACGCGGAATCACTCTGACGTTTAACGGAGTAGACACGCCACTGTCTACGCAAAAGTCATGATGTCATGTTGCTATTCAAGTAAACCCCAAAAACAAAATCAAGACTTTGTAAAAGGGAATAATATGGCCTGTTAAACTGTCTATTGAATACATTGTCTATTCAATGTAGTAAACGTATTTTTAATTAATTGGTAATTTTGGTAAACATTTTTACTATTTTTTTTACCATTAAGAGTAAACTTTTCATTGCTATAGTATGTTATATTTCATTCATTTATGATAACTACACGTTTATTTTAGGCCGAACAACAGCGTATATATTTAATAATTAATTTAATTGTATTTTAATGTAATTTAAAATTACAAATTTAAAATGTAAGGTAATAGATTAGTTTATCAATTTAAATATTTAGATTCAATATAAATGATTTCATTTTGAGTAATTTGGCCCTCCATAAAATGAACGGCAAGTAATACTAAAATTAAATAGAAAGGAGATTTATTAATTTGTTTTGTAATAATTTGTAGTGATTTAAAGATTTTATGATTTATTGAGTAATGTATTTGGATGGATGGATGGATGGATGGATATGTGCTGACTCTGACTAAAATTATGTTTCATATAGAATTATGATTATTCATTCT